TTCCCAGTTTAGAGCGGACAGCATTGTGTCTCATCTCACCTCACTGTAGTTCATGAACTGTCCAATCAGGAACGCGTTGTTCACCAAAGCATGATGGTTCATCGTCACACCCTTGGGACGTCCTGTGGTACCCTGCCGGAAAGACGGAAAGATTGGAGGAGAAGCAAAATCATAAAGAGTTTTTGTTTCCATGCACCATTACGGATAACTGCTAAGCGCGTTTAAGATTTTAAAGAGTTACCTAGCTGTTTTTTAATTGTCTTCCAGTGTGCTGATATTCGAGTATAGACGCTGACATCTTGGAAAAAACACGGCAACCTGGCCGAACAACCAAAACCACAACTCACAAATTCCAAAATATGCGCTGCTTTAATCATCACAACGCGCAACAATCACTATTTGAGTCAAGAATGCCTTTTTATGAAGCTCCTAATTGTTCAAACAGAAAGCAAAAGATGGAAAAGAGGACAGAGCACGTTTACGGTAAGCTGATTCAATTTTAATCGTCAAGAGCTTTGATTGGGAAACGAGAGTTATGCCATATTACGAGGAAAAAACATTTTATGACCTACACTCGGTACTTCCCTAAGTGGAACTGGTAGTAGCTTGTGATGGTTGGCACAGCCTTTCCAGGTCGATATAAGCTGATAGAGCAATCAATTCGTATAACTAGTTTTCTTACCGAAGTAAATTGAAGACATGCTGGTTCGTCAAACTGCAGAGTACTTTTGATATGGTTCACTTGGTTTCTGGCACCTTCGCCTGTTGAGTACAGCAACTCCTCAAATGTTGTAGTTCCTCTATAGTTTGAAGAAATGAAAGTGAGCAATTATTACATCTGAAACACCCGTGATCTTCTTAATATTATCCAGGTCACTTTAGCTACCGGCACGAGTTAGGTCATAGCGCGCAAGGGTGGCGCGTGAATACGCAAATTTCCGTGTTTGCGCGTCTGTGTGCGTGACCACTATAATCACGTGATGGGTAGACGTGCTTGTAGTCTAGAACACTAGGTCAATAAAGCAGAGCGAGAAACGTAAATTGTGATCTACGGTCATGGTCTAAAAAACGCGTCTAAAATTTTAACAGAGCACCGTAAGTACCTGAATGATTTTTTGCTTTTGCTTACAACAAAGACATCTTTCAGTTCTGGTAGCCTGTTTGAGAAAAAAATATGAATTATTACCAACTAAACAAGCGAAAAAATTTGCCTCATTTAGCTTCGATACTGCAATCCCCTTCCCTACTCCCCCCGGAAGTCGAATTGAGTTGAGTATGGGTATAATTTTTGAGTGTTGACTGGTAGCAGAGCAGCTCTCGGAGGACTCTCAAATGTATATTAATCTCTTATTTTTGATCACCTCTCAGACTGAAGTTCTCCAGGTTTTGCGTGCGGCAGTTCAGGTATCAATCTTGTCATTGTATCGTAAAAATTCTCTGTTCTGAATTCGTCCACCATCACCACAGCTTTACATCCTGCCTTAAAATAGAAGAAAATCACACATTTAGCAGCATTAATCGGTCGTTAATTTATCACATTTTAGACCTTACCAGATAAGGTTGAGTTCTGAACGCCTAGAAATTAACTGAGAGGATTACAAAATCGCTGCGAAAATCAATTCTGACGTCACATACCTTTCTCAGCACATACTCTGTCTCGGGTCCTTGGTATGCTGTATTTAAACAAACCTATAGATGGGAGAAAATCCAGGCCATAAAAAAACTTATTTTTCTCGTCCTAAAACGACCCTGATGACGCAAGGAAAAAAATACCTCAACTTCAAAGGATGGCTGAGCAAAGTCTAGCGAAAACAATGTTACTCTTTCCAGACCTCTGCCGTTTTCACTAGCTCGCTTTATGTCTACCTCTATCAGGCCCCCACTTGGTGAGAACCCGGCGTAAACTATAACTTTTTAACAATTGTATCCTTAACGAAATTTCTGTTATTAATAAATCGTGTAATCATAGGGATCTTAATAGACATTTGCGATGTTTATTGCTTATTTACATACCAATATAAGCCCAATTTGAGCTGCCGCAAGCTGTGTTATCAGCCATTCCCTAATGTTAGGTGCCCAGATCCCTAACCGGTCACCTTTTGTCAGTCCTCTTGAAATAAGTCCCTCGGCAAGTTGATCAACCTATAATATTTGTCAAGTTGACAACCGTTACCAAAGATTGACGTAACCTTTATGAAAGTGTTCAAACTCCTGATGCAGGAATTCCAGGGTTGCAAGAGCCGACAGGATCTCGTTGGGAAACTCGGCGGAAAACCCGAGGGATAAGGTGGAAATTCTGGCGGGACCTTGGGAAGGAATCCAGCCAGAAGCCTGACGGGTATTCCTGAGGAAATCCTGGCGGGATACCGGCGGGAATCCGGAGGCAGACTCCGTAGGAAGCCAGTAAAATGTCCCCTGGGAAGCCAGTGGGAATCCCGAGTGGTATTATGGGTATCTTATGGGTGATATTTTATGTGAAAATAATATCGCGAACGAAGTGTTTCGTCCTGACCGGTGGCCGGTCATTTTTCAAAATGTTGCAAAACGATTAGGCTGTAGTTTTGCCGGAGATGTTTCGCGAAGGACGTAAGGTAACCGAAATTTTCGGTTTTTTACCTGTAACTAGAGAGATCGCTGCTACAAGTACAATTAACACTTGATTGTCGCAAGAGTAAAAGATCCGTCGTTCAATATCATACCTCTTGTTGGAATTGTGAAAACGTTGCTCTGTCTCCATCTTCACAGAAAACATATGCCTCCCTATCCGGGAACTTCTCTACAGTCTTGTCAAACATTTGGCCAATAGTGTACCCCAGGAGGGGTTGGAGAGACGTGCCATGATAGTAACTTTGCGTAAGCTTCTTGTTTGTGCTGAAAACAACTTTGGATTATTAGAACTTCAATCAAGCGATACAACCTATTGGGGTAACAAGACCGTTTGCTCTGGGCCACCTCTGAGAGCGGTTTCCTTCATAACCATTTTTGATCGTGATCATGGGGATTTCTAACGGGTCACGCGCCGCTAGTTAATCAAAGTTTGAGCGACAGCAGATTTACGTTGAGGATGTGGTGAGTGGTATCCGTTGAAAATAAACTTTCATGAGTTGAATGCATTCACCAGCCGTTTTGGGAGTTGCATGTATTTGTAGTAAAGATTTAGATTTAGATTGAGACTACCCTGGTTGAACGGATGGAAAAGCTAGGGGCCAAAACCTAACAAATCTTTGCATGTTAACATACCTTCTCCTTGAATCAAAATCACGAACGTCTCTTACTGCATTCTGAGTTTGGCATGATTTGGTAGAAACAAACCTTTTCAGATAGGCTCTAAAATATGCCGCTGGTTTTGTATTCTTTAACCACATAACAAAGACTTTTGGAGTCGCAAAGGAAAGGCCAAAGAAAGCGTTGGCAAATTCGTGAACAGAGTCTTCAATCGCAACAAATATCTGCTTCAGTCGAATGCTAACATTACGTGACAAATCTTGTTTCTAAATGTCACGTAATTTGCAAATCGAGTGGCAACCTATGCCGGAAGTGCTATTAGAAAGGAAGTCAAAACCAGCACAGAGTTGACGCAGGCTATCGACTGGGGGACCTAGAAAAAGAAGTCTCCCTCTTCTTTCAATCTAACACGAAGGCTCACATTTTTGAGTCTGGTGTAGACGACATAAATTTCATGGTAGCCTTTGATCACCTGTTCCCTTTTTTTTTTTTTTCAGTAGGAAAAGAGGCAGCGGGCAGAGAGAAGGGAATGAGGGGAAAAGATGAATTTTTCCCTATAATTTACGAAAGGTTGCCCTTGTTCAGTAAAGGAGCACGCGAGCCTTCCTAAGGCGCCCCCGATATCTCTTGAGGGAGAGCGATGATCTTACAAAGACGGAACATGAGAAAGCGGCGTAATCAAGCCAACCTCTCCGTCAGCGAAACCGACTGCTACCTTCATTAACATTTCCCCTGCCTTTACTAAATTCTAACTGACTTACATGACTTCTTTTATTAGAGAGTCTGTCATTTATGAAGTTCTATAACCACTTGATAATTGCGAATTCTATTTTTGTTTTCGATTTCTTTAGCACCGAATGATAGCAATGAAATAATAAATAATAATAATAACAATGATAATAATAAAACACAAACTGAATTAGGAGGTTTCAATGTGTAGATTTGAGGATCTAAATTTTTAATAAATATCACGCTCATGCTACTATCACACAAGCAAATTAATTCCACGTTTGTCTTTTTTTTTTTTGTGACGTCTTAAATATCGCCGATCACTCTCCTTGTTTTCGTCTTTGCTACTTGATAGCTTGTAACTTTAGGCTGACAAACGAAATTAATGTGCACTCTTTGGGGTATTACCCAAGACTGCGTTCAGAAAAATATTTAAAAATTCTCTTATAAACATAGTGTCTTTAGGTAAGTATGCAGCATTTTGATTCGTGAATAAACAATTCGTTTGTGAGGAGTTACTAAAATCTTCACATTTTGCATTTTTCATAGCATTTATTTGATCTTTGCCTCTGGCGTCAGAGGCATTTTCAATTATTCATGACATTCCTGGTGTTGGCAATTACCACGCAAACTAAATATTAATGTCTTTCTGAAACCTTTTTTCTCTTAGATTTTCTCTTAGCAATAATTACACCTTCAGAGGAGTCGAAACAAACGGAAGGAGAGATATTACAAAAAAAATCGATAGACTGCGGAAAAATGAATCATTTATCTCAAATTTAGATTGAAGCTCTCGAATGCGAATATAAAAAACTGTATTGTCTGGTAACAGTCGCATGTTGCGAGTTTTACTCTTTATTAAAACTGAAAATAATTGAGAAGAAACGCTGTGGCTTCATTGGTGCCTTGTTTGGTTTCAACATGCTTTGTTTTGACGGGCAAAGAATTTTACCATTTAGTATCAACTCACCAAACTGCTTGTCAAACTAACAAACACATGATTATTTTGCGCATCACTGATTGGTCGGTAAATATTGTCGGTCTGGGCCAAATGACCCTCACCCGTACATACCGAGTTATTCGTCCGTCGCTTAGACAAGCGATTTTAAAGAGATGTCGGCTGCCGATTTCGACTCGCTTGATTTCATCACTTTCCAGGCAGATTCGAGCAGAGGCAAGGTAAGAAACTTCGAGGGTTTTCGTGTCGTTCGCGAATTTTGCTACAACTGTGTTACCTAGTGATCTGTCATTCGAGTGGTCTCCAGAGGCGCTCACTATAAACTTACAAATCCTTTTAACAAGCGCTAAAGCAATTGCAGAATTAGATTCCTCTATACGAAACACTCCTGCTGATAGAGAGAATGTAACCCTCTCGTGATCGCTGATCGGTTAAGAAAAACGTATCACACCGAGTTAAATTTCTTGCGATGTGGACACACCTTCGGTGTGTAAAAATAATCGCAACTTATGACAGCTGTGTTCACTGCAAATTTGGCTTCGATGTACTATGTTGTCGAGTATATTTTCTCTCATATCAGACAGATTTCTGAACTGCTGTATTTCGAAAGCTTTAAGGACAAACCCTACAGTTCAAAGCGGCGAGAAGATGCTAAGATGTCTTGTAAAATCACTACCATTCTGAATTTTTTGTGCCAGTTCTTTGGGTGTGCCAATTGAAACTAAAAATTCTGTTGCGATCTTCTCACATGTCTATAATTCTTTCTCATTACTGTAAATGCTTAATTGAAAGCTCAAGGCCTCCTTAGTGGATATGAATAACTTAAATGCCACAAGTAGCTTGCTAGAATTTTCTGAGAGTTTTTATCGCCTCTGCCTAGTTGACCTTCAGTGGAATGCAACAACAAACAGAATGCAAATGCCCGTAGGTGCCCCTTTGCTGATATCTCGAAAACACATTGTTTTGATGTCAACTGGCAAAGAAAACTCGTTTAAAACCTTTTTTGGTAACTATCAGAAGCAATTTCAAGGGCAACGATAGCGATCGTTCAATTTAAAAGTTCAATTAAAATTAAGAAACACTTCTTAGAGACTTCACATTGGAATACAGTTTAATTTGTGTCTCTACATTATTCAAATTCATTTTGTAAATACAAAATTAGTGTAGCATTAAGCTAACACAGAAGCAATAATAATAGTACAAGAATTAGAACACTGCATATCTCAAATGATCCTTCTGTAATTCCATTTGAGGAAAGGTTGAAATATCGAGAGATGACCTCGACCATGAAATCGTGACGAAGAGAAATTCTATTCATTTGTTAAATTGTTCCATTTGAAAATGGTAAGAATTATTAATTACTTCCTAGAGACTTTGTCATGGTCAACTGAATCCTATATCTACAAAACTTCCATCAGTGCATATTCAATTTTAAGTCAAAACTTTCTATGCAAAATAGATGGATTTAACATTCATTAGTTTCATCAACAACGGTTTATTACGACATGCCTGTGTCGTCAGTTCATTGTTAACAATCTACAGGGGACAGAGAGTAACCTAAACATGGCCAAGCTGAAATTTTCAATGCTGAAATGAAAAATCCCATAGTTGACTGGACAAAGCTATTAGCAGCTGTGCTTCATGTAAACTTTCATGCCTTATAAAGCAGAACGCAGCCATTTTTTCCACAATTGAATAAACACTTCACATGTAGCCACTCTGTCACATATGACATCAATTTAAAAAGTTGGACCAACTTTCTTGCTATAAGTACTACTGCTTAGCAGTCTGTTTCAACTGATCACTGGAAGGAATGGAGAATGTGCCATGCAGTGTGATCCTTTTTAACAATCACATACCTCCAATGTAACATAATCAATCATTGCTGTCAAATGAGAAATTAAAACTCACAATTTTCCCTCCAAAACACAAAATTTTCCCACGCTTGGCATTGACGTGGTGTCATTGATATGAAGTGTAAGTGGCTGATCTTAAGATTGTCCACTTTATATTGTCATTCTTGGTCCCTATAACAGAATTGTTTTGGCACATGGCTCTCACTCTACTTGACCTAAGAAAGGCTAGAAAAACAAAATCTATTGTCTATCTTAACTTATATCAAGATAGAGGCCTTGTCTATAGAAAAAAAAAATCCCCACTTTCCATACTATGATAGATATCTTCTAAAGTTATGCATATTAATCCCGCGGGGAAAAGGATTTGAGGGGGGGGGGGAGGAAGGTTATGAAACTACCTTGACAAGGGTGATATTTTACTTTAGTTGGCCAAATAGGTGATAAAACTGATATTTTTTGTTAAAGAAGCATTTTAGTTTTGAGTAAATTTTGCGGCTACACATAATGTACCTTGCATCTTTTCCAACATTGCATTATTTGTAAACTTTACAGGAGCCATTGGTTGCAGGTGAGATTGAAGGGCAGCCATGTCTGGACTGCAATTGTCGAGGACTTTCTTCTCATCCATGGAGGTGAGAGTGGTGGTGGAATTTGCACTACATGTGCATCAGAATACAGAAAACACTCTGAATACCTCTGAAAAACTTTTCCAGGACAGATCTTTATAAGTATATATAGCACTTAGCATTATTCAATGTTTTCTCAAAGTGCTTGTTATTAACTTTTAGGGACTAAATGACAACATTTCAGTCACCTGTACATCTCTTGGTGGCAGCAGTAAATGGCCTTACTTGTTTAATGAATTGGAGGCATGCTGCAAAGCTTACAAGCATCTCCCTGTAAACACTTTGTTTCTCATTTTCAGAAAGAGCTGCATTTTCTGCAAATGTCCATTAGAGTGCCATGACATTCCTCTGAATGCAAGCCATAATAATTTGCCAGAAGACCGTATGGGGGTTGAAGAGAAGCCACCAAAGCCATCATTGATTAAAGTGAAGGAAGCGAATGCAGAGGGATTTGTATGGGTGCCTGCTGGTCTGACAGGTGGCCAGGTATGTTAAACCAGTTATTTGTAATAGTGACCAGGAATCTTAAGTGCTTGATGTACCATGAGAGAATTGAATTGGATTCCTCCCCAGTATATCAATACAGTAACAAGCCAAGATTTTGTAAGAATGTCGAAAAATATCAACTAAGAAATTATTTTGGATTTTACTCCAAATTCTCTAAACAAGCTTAATGAGAAATGTCTGATAGACAGTTAGGAGAATTATTGTCTAGGTACTGGAGTGAAAGGGTTCATTAGACAAGGAATGACAAATTTATCACTAGCAATTTTCATCTTGATAAGACCTTATTTTGTCTGACCTTATTTATAAGGAAATTTTTTGGAGCTGCAATTACAAATTATTATGATTCAGTCAGATTTTGTGAATTATAGGATTTATTTTGTTTTTAAGATCACAGAATTCATGTCTAAGCTGCCAGAAGATAAGGTCCCAAAACTTGATTCTAAGGGTGCTAGGTTTTGGTTGAAGCAGCGTGTTTACCAGATGCCACTGCAAGATTTCTCTACAAAGCATTGCCGCAAACTGGCACTGGATCAGAAGATGGCTATGGATGACATGTGTCTGAAGAGGCTAGACAAGGCTGTGGGAGTTGGTAAGAAATTGTGTATTGCCATTTCAAACTAATAAGCACACTATGCTGACAGTATAAGCCATTATTTTCTTTGCAGGAGCAGTGAAAATAGGCCTTACCATGCCAGCATCATGCACTAAGTGCACGATCCCAATGAATGTTGGTGAGATGGCTGTGTTTGCCATTCGCTCAGGACCAGACTCATGCTGGCATGTGCAATGTTTTGTGTGCTCAGAAGATGGTGAGCTACTAGTTGATCATGTCTACTGCTGGGATGAAGAAAAGCAGAAGCTATTCTGTCCAAGGCACTGGAGCGAGTCACTAAAGCCTCGCTGTGCAGGATGTGAGGAGGTATGAATGTGTTATGATAAACTTTGCAATGGAAATTTATTTGATGTTAAGCATGGTTTTTGCTGTTACAGTGATCACTAAATTATCAACTTGCTGGCTCTTGGGGGTCAATTTTTCATCTTGGTAGCTCATATGAATCAGTACTTATCATCATCATCGTCACATGTGAGACAACGACATGAGGCAAGATATCTGCAAAATTTCATGTTGATATTAAGTCAATGGTCAACTCAACACAACTATCAAAATTTAGCGTTATTGATTTGTTGATAGGCAACACTTTTTATGATTTATCATTTGGTATTTATAATGGTAATTGAACTGAGTGGAGTGCAATTTGGGCTGAAATCATATGCGTGATTTCAAAATTGAATGAGCATGCAGTGCGAGTTCCATTTGAAATCACAAGCATGATTTCAGACCAAAAGTGCATGACATGAGGTTCAATTACCACTTTATTACATCCATTTTGAAATTGCTGAAATACAGGACATTGCCAGTTCAAATATTTCATTGATGCAGTACTGAGCTGGTTTGAAATTAAATTCATCCTTATTTTGGGGGGAAAAAATAACAGTTTTGGAAACAAAGGTAGCAAAATTTGCCACATGATACTCTTTGTCTCACATTTTCCTGTAATTTGATTGGTTACTTTAAACAAGCCTTGAAATCTGATTGGTTGTTGTGTTTTTACTGAACCCTCCTCATTGGCTGGGAAAAAAGGATGCAATTTAAAACAAAAAATGGTGTGATTTGTTGATAACCGATTAGAGCCAATCAGATTACAGGGACCACCAGTGATTTCAAAATGGGTGCAATAAATTTTAGAATTACCTTTTTCCCAGTTGATCTATGTAGGGGAATATTCCCAGGCTATGGACCAGAACTGGCATCCAGGTCACCTTTGCTGTTACTACTGTGATGAGTCATTGTCAAACCAGAAATTTGTCACAGTGGATGAGCAGCCTTCTTGCATCAACTGCTATGATAAAAAATTTGCCAATAAATGTGAGAATTGCAAGATTCCGATTGGTCCTGGCACTAAAGATGTTGATGTTCGTGGTAAACACTGGCATGAGGAATGCTTTGTATGTTCACAGCCAGAATGTAAAAAGCCTTTGGTAAGTTTCAGTCCTTGGACATTGCTCCACGGTCTCAAAATTTAGTCCTCATGAAATACTGTTAACCCTTTAACTCCCATGAGTGATCAAGATAGAATTCCTCCTTACAGCATCAATACAATATCAACTAGATTAGTGAAGAGAATAAAGAAAAATATCAATTTGGGGATAATCAATTGATCCAATACAAAATTCTCTGAACTAACATTTTAAGAATTGTATGGTTGACAGTAAGGAGAATTACAAATTTGATCTGGGAGTTAAAGAGTTAAGTACCTGTGGTGGTCAGAGCAATTTTCAACTGAGCATCAAAAGAGATTGCATTGGTTTTTATGTGACTGGTTCAGAAAACTTGTGGCACTCTTAACCAATCAAATACAAAACTAAAACCATTCATGACCTGGTAACTTGTCTGAAGGCAGTTTGAGTGATTTTTTACTTTGAGTTCTCTTTGGCTTTTAACCCTTAAACTCCCATGAGTGACCAAGACAGAATTTCTCCCTATATTATTCAAACAATATCAAGCAGACAAGTGATGAGAATAGAGAAAAATAACAATTAGGGTTTATTAGCTGATCCAATACCAAATTCTCCAAACTAACATCATAAGAACTGTATAGCAGACAGTAAGGAGAATTACTCTTGTGATCTTGGGAGTGAAAGGGTTAAACTTTCTTCTGGTTGGCTGTTATGATTACCTTGGTTTAAGTTTTACAACAGTTAATTGAAAAGAGCTCTAAGTGCAATTGTGTTTTACACCCTTCTTGTTATTATGCATTACAAATTTGCAGGATTTTTCTTTTATGGATTAAAGTTATAGAATACAGCCATAAAAGTGGTATAATTTTGATATCTGACAGGTAGCCTTAGTCAGAGTGCTTAATTTAACCCTTTAACTCCCAAAAGTGATTAACATAAAACTTCTCCCTACAATATCCATACATTCTTCAGCAAACAGGTAATGAGAATATTCAAACTTATCAGGTAGAAGCTGCTATCTTGATCTAGTACCAAGTTCTCATAACTAATTTACAAGGAAATGTGTAGCAGCTACAGGGGAGAATTAACAATCAGATCTTGGGAGTTAAAGTGTTAATGTTTATTTGATTTTGTAGCTAAATCAAGGGTTCACCTTCAAGGAAGACAACTTGATCTGCCATTCCTGTCGTGGAATTACCCCATCCAAAGTTTGTGAAATATGTGGTAGAGATTTTGCTCCAGGGGAGAAGAAAGTTGGATATCAGAGCAAAACCTTCCATGAGAAATGTTTTATATGTGATGAATGCAAACAACCTATTGGTACTCAGCAGTTTATCAGAAGAGAGGACAAGCGCCTGTGTGGAAAGTGCTATGAGACTGGTTATGCCAGGGTGAGTGACAAGACAATGCTTTATCTTTGGCATCAAAGGAAGGAGAGAAGGATGGGGTCATTTTGTCACTTTGTAGATCAAAGCTTACCCCCCCTTCCCCCTCCCCCCCCCCCAAAAAAAAAGGTCCAAAATCTAGAGGTGATATGTTTTGATTTGTTTGGCAAATTAGAATTAGCAATTGGGGCTTTTCTCTCCCAAGATCTCATTAATAATTTGCTTTGCTTTCTGCTTTACAGTTCTTATGATGTTAGTTCAGAGAATTTGGTATTAGATTAACCAATTATCCCCTAATTGATGTTTTGATTTTTTATTCTCATCACTTGCCTGCTTCATATTGTATTGGTTTGGTGAGGAGAAATTCTGTCTTGGTCACTCATGGCAGTTGAAGGGTAAAAAATTTTAGTGGTGGAGACAAACAAATTTTGGTTGATGTTTGTTTCAGGGAGAGAGCATTTTATTTTGAAATTACCTTCACACCTTCATATAAAGTTCCTTGTAGCTCCTTGGTAAATGGGCAAGACCAGTGTTCAGTCAATGAAGTCACTGGTTGAAATTGGCTCATATGAAAAAGTCTACATTGCAGACAAAAAAAGAAAAAAAGGTTTAGGGGTGTATTTGCCTGGCTACTACAACCTGAAAATATATCAATAATTTTAATGTTATACTTCATACCAAAAAAAAAAAACTTAACTGGAGTTACAAATTGATTAATGACATGTTGAAATTTATTTTGCAGATCTGTGTCAGGTGTAATGAGCCTATAAAAACTGCTTCAGTAAAGCATGATGACAATGTGTACCACTCAGAATGCTTCACTTGTACAATGTGCGCACAACCATTGGCAGGAAAGCCATTTACCAAGCATGAGGGAAATAACGTTTGTCAAGATTGCTACCGCAATAATTTTGCAAAGAGGTGTGCAGCTTGCGAGAAGCTGATAGAAGGAAGTGTCAAATTTGTAGCTTATGGTGAAAAATTTTATCACCGAGATTGCTTCACATGTGCCAGATGTGGTATGGCTTTGGCTGGTGAGAAGTTCCGTGTGGTAGAGGATGAGAAAGTGTGCATCAAATGCAGTTCTTAAATTAGTTAACTGAAAAACTACTTGATTCTGCAAAGCTGGCAGTAATTGAATAATTAGATAGATAAATACTTACGTGTACTTGTCATTAATTCTCTTGAAATCAGGAGTGAACGTGCTGGGCATGTCTAAGTCTTAGCTTTAAGATAATTTTTTACAACTACTGCCAACTATGCAGAGTCACTTTGCTATTACTTAATTAAAGACCAAACTATATCTCAAAGATTTGATGTTTTACATTTGAAAAGGAGTTCTATTTAAATTTCATTTTTAACAAAGCATTTAGAAGGCAAATGTGGACACGTTTGGGCTGATTAATGAATTTATCACACATACAAAGTAGTTCAATCTTATTTTATGAATTTCTCAATAAGATGATCTAAGATTTTGATGAGGAGTTTGCATTTTTGTTTTTGAACCATTACTTGGTGGCCAAACTGTTAGCTTGCTGGACTTTGGGTTGAGAGGTCTGGGTTCTAGCCCCAGTGGGGTCATTGTGTGGTGCTCTTGAGTAAGAACTGGGTAGCGGAAAACTGCTAGGGAATCCTGACAAAATACAGAGAGTTATCCTGTGCTGGACCAGCATTAAATCTGAGGGGAGGGAGGAGGGAGGCAACAATATCCCCTGTTGCTTCTTTCTGCAGAGAGCACAGACTGAGGTCAGCTTCAGTGCCTGTGGACCATGCAGCTGAACCCTTTAACTCCCATGAGAGACCAAGACAGAATTTCTCCTTCCAATATCAATACAATATCAAGCAGACAAGTGATGATGAGAATAGATAAATTATTGATTAAGGGATTATTAGTTGATCCAATACGAATTTCTCCAAACAAGCATCACAAGAACTATACAGCAGACAGTTAGGAGAATTACTAATGAGATCTTGGGAGTTAAAGGGTTAAGTACAGAATTCTCTGTTCCTCTCATCTAGTCTAACAGAATATTTTACACTGTGGTTAGGTTATTTTATGGATTCATGAATGGACAGTGTCTTCCTTTTCTTGAAAACATAGAACAGTTGCAGTAGTTTTACTTTACATCAAAACAATGAGAAAAGTTGCAAGAGATTATCAGAATTATATTTTTTTCCCAAAGTGTTGAAAGAGTGGTTGACAGTCTGTATTAGCCTTCAAATATTGTGTGAACCCAAATTTAAGTTATCTTCACTTCTTACTTAGCAGAGTAAGATAATCTACATTTTAATATGATGTAGTTGCCTGGAACATCCAGTAATGTGTTAAAAAGTTATTCTATCAATAGTATTGTTAAAAGAAAGGAGTTAAGATTTCTATGGTCTCTTTTACTTTTCCCTAAATGAATTAGGTACTCATAGAATTAGGCACTCACAGAAAAAGCTATATGTCACATTGGGCAGTCTTGCATGATTCAAGCTTTCATTCCCACACTGTTTTGCTTTTTGATAAGACAAATGCAGCTCAGAGTACTGGGAGTCAGAGGGTATTCAAAGCTGAAGGCTTACATGTATTTAGTTTTAATTTTAATTTAAAATTTCCACGTAGGGTTGAAATGTGAGTAGAAAACATTGAACATGGAAAATCCCTTTTGGGTTAAAAGCAGCTGTAGTAAGAGAAATAAGTACATAAAAGACAATATGGTGAGGAGTTGAACCATAAACTATGACAGTATGGTTCTATGATAATGAAATATTAGGCAAGGTATTGCTGAGATGGAGTTGTATATAGTTTAGAGGTGCAAAGAAGTAGAGAATTGTAAGTTAAGGTAAAGAGTCAAAGTAACAGCTCTCATTTGAAATGTGAAGGGAAATTACACTCCAGTGTAGTGGCATGGTTTACTGGCAATGATAAGAAAGAGAGAGAGATGCCAGTATTTCCATCTATGCCTAAAGTGAAGCATTTCCATGTAAACATTTCTGTTTAGAAACTATTTAAAGACCTTAAATTAGCTAGCTAGTAAAGAAAATTAAGTGTTATTCCAATAGGATAATATTAGAAGAAGAAATTATTGTGGAAACTTAGGATGATGATAATAAATTGTTGTGATCTCAATGAGGTATTGTTAGAGTGACGTTTGGGCTAATTATTTATTTTTCTGAAGGAGAATGTCACTCTTCTGACCCAGACCAGATTTAACCATTTTTATTCCTGGCAGTTACCAAAAGTGGATTTCTCCTTACAATTTCTAAACATTTAGAAGCAAAACGATGGTGAGAATAACAAATTTTAGCAAGTAAGGATATTGTCATATTTTGTAGCAAATCCTCAAATCTTGAATTTTAATTAAGAAATGTATGGCTTATATTGACAACGTGACAACGTTAAAATTGAATAAGGTTCCTCTTCTTTACTTCTATTCTCAAAACTGCATAGTATAAAGAATGGAAAATAGAAATTTTCAAAGAAGGAAACGAGACGGATGTTGAAATTTACCTCCCCGGGCGAGGTCTATAATCCCATAATCTCTGATCCAGCTGGTTATCGTCATCTAAATACGAGTGTTCTTTGAAAAAAAATCCAAAAGAAAAAAAAAACGTAATTAAGAACGGATAAGCAATTAGATAAAACTTGAAAGAAGGATTTTCTAGGCTTTACTCTAAAGGATTAGCATTAATCGGCTTTTGAGCCCTTATGCGGGTCAAAGAACGTGCGGTCGCGTGACAGAAGGAATTTGTCGCGCACAGGCAACACGTGACGAAAATTCGTCACGAGAGCTACGTTCAAAGTGCACTAGTTTGCGCAGCTGGCAGTTTACTAAACCGCCAGCTACGTAAGTTGAATTACACCTCACTTTAGTTAGCTTAGGTCGTCATACGGGTCTTTAAGTCTCGAAAAAAAGCCACTTACAGCTTGGATAGTTTGGAAGACGAAGACGCCATGGTGGACGAAAAGCGGGCGGCACCATTCAGGGATCGCTGGGTGAAAGGCGACCAGGCGTAGATTCTGGCGGGAAATATTGGCGAGGTTTGTTCGGGCAAGTTCAGTGGTGATTTCTGGACAATCCAGCTGGCTTTCATCAGTTATCCCTTTTAAGCAGGGGTTTTGTGTTTGAAAGATATTCTTTTTTCTTTCTCCGCTTGTCTGGGGAATTTGGGCCTGGAATATCGATTAAAATGAAGGAAATTAGTGCGTTGTTGGTGAGCAGAAAGCGAAGCAGTTGTCTGGAAAGGTAAGGTAATTCATTGTTTTATACATTGCAAAACTGATGGTGTGAGCGAGTGCAATCGCATTTGTTGTTATAAGTGTATAATATCTCAGAAATTTACTCAAATAGTGTTTGTTTCTCAATGGTGTAAAGAATTTGGAATAATTATTCTTAAAAGGGCGACTTATTTGAAGTTATGGCGGCACAGGTTACGGTATTCAACGTTAATACCCACGTCACCCGTCTTTCTTGCTTCGTGTTATCACTTGTCTTAACCCACAACCCCAAAGAATGACTAGTATCTAATTTCTCCTTACAATATCACCCCTGAGTCATGCAGTAGGGTCATGAGAATAAAGAAAATTATAAGCAGCTGAAGCTGTTGATTGTTACACAAATTCTCCTTGCCAGCACCTTAGGGAATGTATAGAGAACAGTATGGGGAATACCTTTACTGATGTTAGGGTGTAAAGGCTTAATCTTGGAAGTTGAATCTAAGCTTTAATTTTTTTGTCTACACTATGATAACAGTGTCGAAGTGTACTTGTTTTAATGAAGATTGCTAAAAATAGTGGCTTTGCTATCAGATACTTATTCTGATTACTGCAGTTGCTAAAGGTGGTTATTTACTTCAAAGTCTTCCTGTTTAGAGGGTTGATAATGCTTAAACTAGCTGGGTAACTATTTGTCAAAGGTATAAAATCAATGGTTACTTGAGAACCATCTTATATACTGGGAGGGGATAAGTCTGCCGCATTATTCATAATCATATATGCTGTGGAAACCTAATTCAATTTCAGTGATAAGGAAATGGCATTGTTTGGTCTCCTCTGGGTCTTTGCATGTCTTTGGGTGGGGTGGGGTGGGGTGGGGTGGGGGGTGTAAGTGAAGAAGGTACAAGGCATCCAAGGAAGATTGGGCACAGTGAGGTAAGGGGGGCTGTAAGGGGGCTGTAAGAGAGCAAACAAATGAAAATCTGTAACCTTCAGAAGTGCTTGAAATATACTTTACCCAGTGATTGCCAGCCAAAATTTCATCCCACAAATTTCACTGGCAGCCAGCACTTAGTGACAACCTTAAGAGTTGAGACTAGCTGAAAGGCTGAAGATATTCTCATTGACAAAACTGTCACAGCCTCAACATGTAAGCCTCTTGGAAACCAGCCTGCAAGGGGCCTTGATACCACTCATATTGCACAATCCATCATAGCCTGTGTGCTGGCTATCTCCTTTTTAGTTAAATAACTTAAAGACAAAAGATACCAGTATTCCTCTTCACAATTAACGCAACCATTGCACTTGAAAGTGATTGTGGCGATTTATTCACAAACCAGCAACAATAATTGTTAATGCGTTGTAAAAGGAGTCTTCATTAGTCATTAGAATAAGTTACTTAATAAGTTTGGTCTATTTAATTATATATTAATATGTACAATCAATACTTGATTATTTTAACAATATTACTGTGGTAAACACCAACAGCATCACTTAAGAACAAACCATTAGTACTCTTAACCTTACAAAACATTCTGACTTAAGGCCACAAATTTTTCAATGATAGGCCCCTTGCGTCAGTTTCAAACATGAAACATAACTGGAATCAGATTGCTCTGCAAAAGGAAAAACAAAACCCAACAAACCTAAATACGAAACAGAATGAAAAAAGAGGAACCACCAGGACTGGGAAGAGCAAACTCATGTAATCAGAGCCAAAGAAAATTTCAGGGTAAGGAATAGTATTTTAGCTCCAATTCTATTTGTAATGCAGGCTTATTCACTAGGTTAATGATCGCATCAAATTCAAGAGATGCTCCTCTCAGCAAAATCTCGTATCTTACTGGATTACTTCAATTTATCCTTTCTAATAGTTCTTCTCTTGTTCCTTTTGTTTTTCAATTAAACCAACATAGATGTTAACCCTTGTGCCTTTTTTCCCCTCATATCTACTAATAACAACCTGTTCATGTACTTACTTTGACAATATGGCTTTCTGAGGAAGTATACGACACTAAATAGTCACCAGAAACTTTTTTCTGAGGCTGAATGATAAGACATAGATGATCTGTAAACAACTGTGATATAAACAACATGAAAATCAGGTCGCAGTTAACCTGCCTATTTGTTTGATTCCAACAATAACAAAAGTTGAAACAATCCGCATTACTACTGCAATAAATCTTTTTGAAGAACAAAAGTACTGAATCTAGCATATAATTAATTTAATATACATTTGCATGCTGCCTTAGCATCTCTAGAAAAGCCAACTACATGTAAGCAACCATGATTGTGTGTCAAGACAAGCTTCATTTCATCAGCTTCAGTAATGCACACTATGCCATCTTGAAGTATTAATAATTAAATCACTGCACCAAGCAGTTTTTATGTTTGTTTTTGTTTTTCTTTCCTGCGTCAGCTGTTTTGACAACCTGAGGTGAGGCTTTTTCAAGGAAACCATCTTCAGTGTAGGTAATTCTTGGACGCCTATTAGGCTTTGATTTGCTTTTATCCACTGGATTAGCAAATGGATCTTCCCAAGGTAACTGAGATGATTTACTTGGGCTAGGATTGTTTCCTCGTGACTTGTACTCCTTTGGAGTAGAGCCATTTCTATTGATCATGTGTTCTTTCCTCGCTGACATGTATGTACCAGAAGAAGTTCTGATGTGATTACGCCGTGGGGGCGGGGCTGGTATAGAACTTGGCTTCCATGTCAAACTTTCCAAAGATCTTGACAATGGCCGTGCATTTTCGCCTTCACTGAAGTAATACTTCTTACTATTTTCCTCAATATCTATATCATAGTACTTCAACTGTCTCGCCTTTGATTTATAACCAGAATTTCTAGATGTTCTTGAGTCCGAGGCATATCCAGAAGTGTGTTTACTAGAATTTCTGGATGTTCTTGAGTCAGAGGCATATCCAGAGGTATGTCTCTCCTTTACTTTGACATGCTTATGAGCCTTGTTTATATCTCGACTGTCCAACAAAACCTTTGTTCCACAATTACTGTCTCTGCTCTCAATAGTGCCATAATTACTATCTTTGGTAGATTCAACATCCACGGGTGTGGCTCTTATAAAGTCAGAGGTACTTCCCTTGTCAAATAATTGAACTCGATAACCTCTGTCAAAGGTATCAACTGCTTGCCTAGCATTTGACAGTGGCTGGAAATTTTGCCTTCTATGGTATCTGTCATTGTCAAAACTAAAACCCCCATAGCTTCCTCCTTGGACACTCACACTGTCAAAGACATCGGTCGAATAACCTGCAGTTTCAATATGGCCAAACACCCTGCCAGACAATCCCCCAATTCTTACAGGGTCATCATGTTGATGCTGTCTATCAAATGTTCCCACTCTGTGTTGAGACAAAATCCCTGAGTAGTGGCCAATACTGTCTCCATCAACACTTGGTTCATAAGGAGCACTCAACACCCCAGATGCTGAGTGATTGCTTGAAGTCACATAGTCTGACTCAAGTGTCCCAAGGTCAGATGTGCATAATTCCTGAGCATTGTAACGTTTTGTATCAAAACCTGGTCGAAAGTCAGGAAATTTTTCATGACTTTGGAAATCTGCTGAAATGCGGCGACTGCATTCTGGAGAGCAATATATTTCTCCATTCTTGGGAAGAAAAGGTTGTCCAAGGAGAGGCTTACGGCAGTTGTAACAACAGTAGCAATTGTCTGTTGCATGCCAGTGTTGTCCATTGTGCATCATTTGACTTGCATCTGGGTCAATTGGTTCCCCACAGGCATCACAAAATTCAGCATTCATTGATTTGAAACAATGACAGCAGAATGGGTTTCCTTCCTTCATTATGTACCGCATACCTCCAAGTGGACAGTCACATTCAAAGCAACAAAAATGGCTTACATGCCAACATCGGTCCTCAGCTTCTGTGCAC